TGGTGGGTTGTGTGGGTGGGTGGGTGTGTGTGTGTGTGTGGGTGTGTGTGTGTGTTTGTGTGTGTGTGTGTGTGTGTGTGTGTTACATATGCTGTCTGTCAGAACACATGCCCACATGGAAGTCAGAGAACAAGGTTGGGTGTCCTTCCTTCTCTATCATGTTCCACCTCACTGAGAATAAAATAGCCTCAAAAATCTTCCTCTTACCAGGCAGTGGTGGCGCATGACTTTAATCCCAGCACTCAGGAGGCAGAGGCAGGTGGATCCCTGTGAGTTTGAGGCCAGCCTGGTCTACAGAGAGAGTTCCAGGACAGGCTCCAAAGCTACACAGAGAACCCCTGTCTTGAAAAACAAAAAACAAAACAAACAACAAACCGTCCTGTGTCCACTTCCTCTAGTGCTGGTGGCGTGACGGGTGCACATAGCCTTCCACTCCCAGATTGTAGGTTGGTGCTGGGGATTGGAACTCAGGTGCTCATGCTCACACAGCAAGCATTTGCCTACTGATCTCTCGTCCCTGCCTGTTGTTATTACTCCTCAAGACAGGCTCTCACTGCACAGCCCTAGCTAGCCTGAAACTTACTAATAGACAAAGCTGGCTTCAAACTCAGAAGTCTCCTGCCTGTCTCCCTAGGGCCAGGGATTAAAGACATGCAAGACCACACCTGGCCCCCAGCCTATTTGTTTTTGAGTCAGTGTCTTGCTATGTAGCCCAGCTGGCCTAGAACTCATTATGTAGCATAGGCAGGCCTCAAACTTTCAGCAATCCTCCTGCCTTTGCCTCCAAAGTGCTGGGACTACAGGCATGAGCCACCATACCCAATTTTAAGTGCATTAGTCTCTTCAGTGAAAGAACAAGTGTGGCCTACTGTCCTGCTCTGGTTCCTTCCCTAAGTGATACAATATATAGTTCACCCAAGGAATGTCTCACCTGGTCTATCAACCTGTTTTGTTGCCAACAAATATCAAGTAAGGCTACACTAAGAGATGCTATGCAGCTGTACTGAAGGCTGTGCCGGTGCCCTCCTTCCTAGCTCACATGAAGCAGGCAAGAACAAACATGCATCTGTGTACCCAGTGGAGTCACACTGGGCATCACCTCTGCAAACTAAGCTGAGATGGCACAGTGAAGAGCCCAGGGGCAAGGGGATGGCCAACAGGTGGCACCTGTTGTACTTTGCCCCTCGGCTTTACCTTTTCTCCCCACAGATGTGATTGTGGGTGAAGGAAGCCACGAGCCCTTTTCTCAGCAACACATGGCCCCAGCAGGCTGCTTAGATGCTCAGAGGCATTGTTCTCTGAACTATGAAACACATTTGGGGGTGGCAAGATAGCTCAGTGGTTAAGAACACTGGCTGCTCTTCCTGAGGACCTGGGTTCAATTCCCAGCACCCACATGGCAGCTCACACCTATGTGGAACTCTCATTCTAGGGGATCTGACACCTTCACACAGATATACCCACAGGTAAAACACCAACGTACATAAAATAAGAATAAATAAATCATTAAATTGTTCTTTGTTTTTTATTTTTAGAGACAGGGTTTCTCTGTATAGCTTTGGAGCCTGTACTGGATCTCATTCTGTACACCAGACCAGCCACGGACTCACAGAGATCCACCTGCCTCTGCCTCCAGAGTGCTGGGATTAAGGCATGTGCCACACCACTACCCAGCTTTAAAAAAAAAAAAAAAAAAAAAAAAAAAAATTTAAAAAAAAAAAAAAAAAAAAAAAAAAAAAATTTAAGAAAGAAATAGTTGGGGCTGGAGAGATGGTTCAGTTGTTAAGAGCACCACCTACTCTTCCAGAGAACCTGTGTTCAATTCCCAGCACCCATATGGCAGCCCACAACTGTCTGTAACTCCAGTTCCAGAGGACTGCATACATACATGCATGCAAACAGGAAAACACCAGTGCACATAAAATAAAAATAAATTAAAAAAAAGAAATAGGTGTAGAAGTAACCCCACTGGGCAAATTCAAGAATGACATGTGGGAAACAAACTCCATAGTCCTGATATACATTCCCCAGGGCTCAGCGCTTTAGTTTACAGAAGTGTCCACAGGGTAATGCCTGTCTAGCCCCACTACTCCCCTGTCTGCAACATTAGCCCCTGGGTGCTCCCACCCATCCTAGAGTCTGTGAGGAACTCTTAAGCTTGGAGAAAGAGTGCAGGGGTAAAAGTCAATAATGCTTTTGTATAGGACCTGAGTTTGGTTTCCAGCACCTCACATTGGGCTACTCACAACTGCCTGTAACTCCAGCTCCCTGATACCTGATACCCTCTTCTGGCCTCTGTAGGCACTTGTATTCTTGTGTACACAATCAATCACTTGTACATACACATTTCAAAAAGTAGAAAATAAGCTGGGCAGTGGTGTTGTACATTTTTAATCCCAGCACTCTGGAGGCAGAGGTAGGTAGCTCTCTGAGTTCAAGGCCAAGGCTACACAGAGAAACCCTGTCTCCAGTGGGGGATGGGGAGATGGCTGGACTGTCCTGTGACCTTCCAGACATATGACTATGGGTGCAAGGGTCTCCCTGCCTGATTCTTGCTATAGGTGAAGATCCTCCGAAAGGTGACATCCCTGTCAGACAGCTACGTGGACCAGACCTCCTCAGGCTCAGAATTCAGCAGTAAGTCCTTGATGTTCCTGCTAAGCCTAGTAGACCAAAGCAGCAGAGAGGTCCAAGGTCAGGTACTGAACCTTGGGTTCTGCCCTGGATAGCTTTGGCTCTGCCTGCACAAGTGACTCTTAAGTTAGAAGTTACAGTCCCAACCTCACCAAGCATGTGGTAAGGACTAATTGGAATGGTGCCCAGCACAGGGCAGGGACCAGTTATCCTCAAGCCTACTCCCCACTTCTCCCTCCAAAACCTGTCCCTTTTCTCTCTGCTCTTTAGTGTATCCCTAAACTTAGCCACATACCTCACACATATCCAACAGGTTTGACTTCCCATTTTGCCATCACCAGCCATGAGGGTATAAAAGGGCAAAGCAAGAAAGCTGCTCCTCAGAAAGCCCTGGTGTGGGGTTCCCAGTGCCCCTTGGTGTATGATGGCAGTTCCCTCTGGTTATCATCTCCAAACTGCTCTGTGGTGGTCCAAGTATCCTGAGACAGGCTTGTGCCTAATAACTGGTGATAGGGATGAGTGGCCCAGTGCTTGTCAAAGGACGTGAACCCTAAGTCAGTTAGGGGAGCAAGCCAGCCAGGCGCATGGGACTGGGACTAAGAGGGCAGGGGTGTGATTAGACCTTTCAAGAACTCAAGGTGGATCTCAAAGAGCTGAAAGAAGAGTAAGAGGTAGTCGCTTGTAAGCTGGGGTGGCAGGGCACTGCTGGGGTAGAGTTGGGAGGCTTGTGTGAGAACAGGGCTGGGGAGAGCCGGAAGAGAGGCCAGGTGGGTCAGCAATGCTCAGGCACCTTCTCACCCTGTGCACAGCTCAGGCGCATGGAGGAGGTAGGCCTGGTGGGAGCTGGGAGGCCCCAGCAAAGGGCAGGAGGTGGCCTGGAAGCTCCCTTTTCCCAGAGCTGCCTGGAGAGGCAGACAGGCCTAATACCTGCTCTCTGCACTTTCCCAGTCCTGAGCCCGAGCACCTTAGAAACGGAGGTGTCAACCATGGAGTATAAGAGCACTTCCAACACTGCTGCATCATCAGCTGAACGCTTACTGCCTCAATACTTAGTCACCACGAAGTACAAAGAGAGCCTAGGCCTGAGCATGGCCCCCAATGTCACCCAGGTCTCTGAAGACCTACACAAGAGCTTGACTGAGAACATACCTGATGATGGTCCAAGACACCACTCCAGCAAGGCAGAGGCCACCCAAAGACCAAAGCCCAGGAAGACAGAGCCTTCTCAAAGCCTAGGAAAACAGAGACCCAGCCAGAGACCTAGCATAACAGAAGCCACTAAGGGCCCAAAACCTAGGAAGAACAGGCCTGCCCTGAGCCCAAGGCAGAGGCTCAGAAGAGCCAAGGCTGTTCAAGCCCAGAACTGGAAACCCAGGACCAATAGCAACAGCCAGAAGACTTCCAGTCTGCTTTCCAATATTGCGGTCATAATCAGTAGTTCCAATGAGGCCCAGGACCAGAGTCCAGTGCCCAGCAAGGCTGACGATATCTCAAGCTACAATGACAGTACAGCAACAAGTTCCACCAATACTGACTCCTTGAGGCTGAGCATACATCTCAGCAAACCCAAGTATTCCAAGGACCAGAGCCCGAGCCACAATAAGGAAGAGGTTTCACCCACCTCTAACAACTATGCTGCTCCCTGAAAGGGCCAATGAAGGCCTTGTTGAGGAGACAACATTTTACCCAACACCCTAGCTTTCAGAAGAGCTGCCTCCTCCAAGGGCAACAAGCAACCCTGGTCAATGTTCCAATCCCATGGCTAAGTTTATTATCCCTGTTCTCTTCCCGTACAAAATTAAAAACTTTGAAATCCAGGCCCAGGTGGCAGCTAGAGTCCCTCCATTTGGTGAAACTGTGAGGTTCCAGTCTGTCCTTGCCAGGTTTCCAGGTCCAGCCATGGTGCCAGACAAGGCATGCAGGTAAAAGCCCCCTATGGAAGCAGCCACGGACCTTTGTCCCTGAGTTACAGTTCACATTGAGAAGGCTCAGGCTGCAGGCCACAGCAAGGCTGTGAGGTTCTAGGGTGCCCAGGAGTTTCCTGGTGAAGTGGCCTTCCAAGCCGTTCATCTTTGGCCTGGCCAACACTCTTCTTCATCTTAGCTCTGTGCTCTGGGTCCCATCTGCCAGACAGGAAAGAGCCCTCTGGTAGACGTCCAGGCTTTCCCTGCTTTTTCTGTCCAGACAGAGGAGGCAGTGATGGCCCTGGGAGTAGTCAGAGGAAAAAGGTGATTCGGGAGGCCACTGTCTTGCAGCCATTGGACGAGAAGAGCTGTTCATCCTCTGGGAAGTAGGTGGTACTGTCCAGCACAGCCTGAACCACCTCCTCCTGGGGCTCCAGGCCCAGCTGAGCCAGCTCATTGAGTACACAATGGCGCACGTGATGCCGCTGGAGTGGGAGGAAGGGCACCACAGCATCCAGCAGGTGTTCCTCCATGATGCCAGACCGCCAGAAGCCATCTGCAGGCAGGCATGGAAGTGACGGTGAGCTTTTTAAGCCTTTGGGGTAGTGGTGGTATAGTACAAGCTGCAGAAGTGGGGGCTGTTTATGTGCTCTGCTTAGGTCACGGAGCGCAGTGTGCAGAGGCTTATGGGTAGAACTATAGTGCAGTGGACAATGTTTCAGATTTAGGTCCAACCCACTAAGTTTAAGTGTGAAGGCCCCACCAGGATGGGTCCCTGAGCCAACTTACGGTGAGGGTTGTCCAACACAGCTCGGGAGACTGCTGGCTCCAGCTCCTGCAGGCTGATGTCTTCCCGGTCCCTGCGACTGCGCCATGCCTCCAAGGCCACCTGGTTGATCTGCTCACCACCAGTATTGCTAAGATCAAAAGAACCCAGGATCAGACTCATTGGGGGACTAGAGGGTGACACCTAACATGAATCAGTAAGCAAAGTGGCCCATTTCCTTCTCCTTCCAGGGACTATGACAACCAAGTCCCTGTAACATGTATATGCCATGCACTTTACAATTCACAAAACAATTTGAGGGGGTGGGGTTGACACAGTGTCTTGCTACTGAAGCCATCCTCCTGACTCAGGGTCCAGAGTGCTGGATTACAAGTGTGTGCCATCACACTCAGGCTACAGAATCCTTTTATCTATGTATGTACCCTTTAATTAGCTTTGCCCAAGAGGACAGTAGGGCATTAGCATTGATACAGCTTCAGAAGCAGAGGACAGAGCTCAGAGAGGCTCAGCAGTTTGGCTTAAAGAGTCGGGGCTTGGAAATAGGCTGGGGTTAGAGGGTAGGGCAGCTGGCCCCTTTCTCCCAAGCCTGCATCCTCTCAGCTACCAAAGGGTTCCACACAGCAACAAGGGTCTAAATGTCAGAGCCCACACAGGCTTTGAGAATGTCTAAGGGAAGTCAGCCGCCTCTAGTGACAGTCACCAGGGACAGTGAGAGGAGCTGGGAGAGCCTTGTAAGCTCTGGGAAAGAGAACCCTGCTGGGAGCATAGGCCCAAGCTGGACAGCTGAACCTCTGACAAGTGTCCCCCACTGTACCTACTGGCAATGCTGAACATACCTGATAAAGATGAAAATGGCTTTGCGATAGTTGGTCCCATATACAACCCAAGAGGGGCCCAGAAAAGGCTGCAAGACTTCCATTAGGCCAGGGGGCAGCTTGTCCATCTCATCAAAGAGGAAGAGAGATCTGCCACAAGCAGTGAGGTTCCCCTGGACCCAGCTCTTGAGCTCCTTCTATGGGGGAAGAGATGGGGGTTCCAAAGAGGTCCAAGACATCCCTGCAACCCCAAACTTCCCAAGCCAAGAAAAATCCCCAGAAAGATGACCTCTTGTTTCCAGAGAACACCAACCCCTTGAGACAGATGGTAAAGTGTAATCCAGAGAGGTGCAGAAACTTGTCCAAGACCACACAGCCAGTCAACAGGAGAGCAAGGACAGGAATCTATGGCCCCAATTGTCTGTTCATGACAGCTATTGACTTGTATGACAGGGAGGCTGAACATGCCCCACAGTATTGACAGCTAAGATGGATCAGGAGCAATGGTAATCAGAGCTCACACCAAATTGGGGCTAAGAGCTCAATGGGGGCCCAAGAATACAGATACAGGTACTCTGTAAGTAATGTCTGCCCTGTGTAGTCTCCATGTCTCTCATGATGTCTCTAGTCCACAGGCGTATCAGAGAGAGCAAGCTCCTCCATGACACCATGGCGAGCCCTGTTCCTAACAGATTTTGAAGGCTCCAACTGGCTGTGTGGTTTGGAACCCTCTCAGGACTCAGAAAAGGGATCCCAGACACGTCCACCATACCTTGTACTGCTCAATGTGGCTGGGATGTGGGAAATGGATGGTAGGGGAGAAGTGGTGCACGTGAGGGCTGCGAAGGCCGCCCTGGAAGAGATACTGTGCCAGCAGGGAGCTGACGTAGGACTTCCCAGTGCCTGTCCAGCCATGCAGGGAAAGGACCAATGGTTTGCTGGGGGCCAGCTCCTGTACAAAGGCCTTCAGTGACTTCACCACCAGGGCCTTGGCCAAATGCTGGCCAGCCAGGTGTTGGGCCAGGTCACATTCCAGACCTAGGACCACAGAAGGAATGTATATGAAAGCAGATGACAGACCTGTGACTCATGTCTGTAATCTCAACACTTGGAAGGTAGAGGCAGCAAATATTTCAACTAATCAAAGGCTACACGGGGTTTATTTTTATCTTATTTATTATTTGTTTTGTTTTTCGAGACAGGGTTTCTCTGTATTGCTTTGGAGCCTGTCCTGGAACTCACTCTGTAGACCAGTTTGGCTCCAAACTCACAGAGAGCTGCCTGTCTCAGCCTCCCAAGTGCTGGGATTCAAGGGATATGTCACCAAGGACTGGCTAGCCTGGGATTATAGTGAGTTGTAACATACCTTTAATCCCAGCACTTGGAAGGCAAAGACAGGGGATCTCTGTGAGTTACAGGCCAGCCTGATCTATATAATGAGTTCCAAGCCAACAAGGCTTACTCACATGGTGAGACACTGTCTCAAAAAAGAAAGGGAAGGAGGGAAGGAGGGAGGGAGGATAGAGAGAGAGGAGAGAAAGAGAGGCAGGGAGGGAGGGAGGAAGGGAGGGAAGGAGGGAGACAGTGTTATCAGCAGGGCATGGCGGCACAAACCCTTATTACCAGCACTCTGGAGGCAGAGTACAGTGGATCTCTGTGAGTTTGAGGCCAGCCTGGTCTACATAGTTCCAGGTGAGCCAGAGCTATGTAGAGAAACCCTGTCTCAAAAACAAACAAAACAACAAAACAAAAGAACCCCAAACCCATCAAGGTAGAGGTTCAAAGGAAAAAGGCATGTCTGAGACCTCTGGGATACTTGTTCAAAGGAGAGAAGGGAGCAGTCCCCTCAGCAAGAGC